ACAGGCCATATGGGAGAGATTAAGTTTTTATTGTTTTTCGTGTTGAAAAAGGTGTTGAATACAAAAAGTTATTGGATTACATATTTTTAACATTATGAGAGTTAGGTTATTGTTATTTTTTTTTATACGATGAAATCGTTTATTAAGGCCGTAAACAGCGTTTTGAAGGTACGTAGTACAGTTAACCTACATTGAGCTACTCGTTGCTGCTGTCGCTGTTGCGCCTGCTCAGAGGTAAACAAGCAGCTTGGTGTTAAGTTAAACTGTACTACTTACTTTTAAAAAGATATTTTCGGCCTTCATAAGCGATTTCATTATATGAAAAAAAGTAAGAACCTAACTCTTACAATATTAAAAATATGTACTCTGGAAACTTTTTTTGTTCAACATCTTTTTCGCCGTGTAGAAAAAACTTAATGCTTCCCATAAGGCCTGTACTACTTTTTCTCTAGTAGTAATGTATATATTTTTTTTTCGATATGTTACTTGGTACAGGCATGTTTCCAATACTCCTCTCTTATCCTCGCGACTACTTACGCGACTACTACACATTTTTATACATCAAAAATGTTTTATACGGTTTGTAATGATAATAATAATAATAATAATAATAATAATAATAATAATAATAATAATAATAATAATAATAATAATACTTCATTTCAGTATCCAGCCATTGTTACTTGACATCTCTTAGCCTTTGTTTGCATTGGTTAACATCATTTTTATGCAGTGCATACCCTAATAACCTAATAAATTAGTAAATATAAATTTCCTTCTATAATTTTTTAACCTACATTTTATTCATCTAACATTCTAAATACTTTATGTTTTAAACTACGGTACTTTTACACCCCAAGTCTTATACTTTTTGTGGACTTGTTTTTTTTACATACGCAGCATCTCGGTGTATGTGAGTCTGGTACATGTATCTACCTTAGTTTATTTAGTTGCACATTTTAAAGTTTCTTTCTTTCGTCGTATTACCATATTTCTACTTCACACAACGTACTGCTTTTAACTACGTCATTAAACAACATTTTCTTATTTTTTAAAACTCTTCTTTCCGTCATTTTCTTTGTACTCCATGATTTTTTAATGCAATTATTTCCTTTCTTCTCAGCTAGTCTAAAATTCTTTCATAATTTTTATATCCATGAAAATAAAACCCTAAATACAAAAATAAATAATTGTAGACGCAAATGGTAAGCAGCTAATATTAAAAAATATACTTGATATTAAAAAATTTTATCTTGTCTATTTAATGGTTTTTGTGTTAACACTTCCAGTGTACAAACTAAAGTGCTTTTTAACAATACCTATCGTAAGTTTCTTAATTTTTTTGTCTTAGAAAACTGAAAACACATCCGTAGTTACTACGCCACATTCATAGTCCTTTAATAAAGCTCTTTTAATCAGAAACGTACTTGTATGGCTTTTTATAACTTTTCTCTTGAAAAAATCTACAAAACTTGTATAGACCTTTAATTTCAAGCCTTTGCCAAGTACAAAATACTGACTCTTTTTTCTGATTTCCAACTCGGCTGTCCAAAATTCTTCTTTTACTTCCACCTTATTGATTAGTTATCTTTGTTATATCTCGATGTTTACTTTATAGGCCAAAAACAAAAGAAAAAAACCTGTACGAGTTTTAAACACATTAGGACAACGTTTTGTTTAAGGAGGTTTGGAAGAAAAGTTAAAGATGGAGAAACATGCCAAAAAAATGTATGTTATATTTGAGCATGTTAGGAGCGCATATGAATTTTTTCAGATTCTTCACCAGGGGAAATTTTCAAGAAAAAAATTATGAAATATTCACAGTTTAACACGGTCTCTTATGAGATAACAAGGTTAGGTTTGCCTTTTAATTGAAATTAAGGTACATTCGAAATTTGTTGGAATAAAAAAAAAACGTTTTCATAGATAACTTGGTCTAAAAGAAAGATGCCCAACAAAAAAATCAAGCCTTGCCAGGCATTTTTCAAAAATATAAGCAGTTACAGTCTTACTGTTTCAAGTTTGTAAAGTGCAAGAGGAGGTGTGCAGTAAAGGGGGCCCAGATGCACGGGTAGGAGGGACTCCTCGTTCCTCGCCTCTCTGAATGATACTCTCAAACCTCCTTAAGAAAGAAATGTTGACAGACGGTCTTGATACCTCAGGAATTTTTTAACCATTTCAAGCCCTTAGTCATTAAAAACGTAAGTCTGTTGACTAGCTCCCATCTGGAGTTATTACAAGTATAAGGGAGGAATTAATCTTATAAAATTGCTTCTCATTTTTTTGGCGTTTTTGTCGCTAATGAAACCTCCTGGCCATCTATACTATATATTTTGTTTATCTCCGACAACTATAGCTTTGAATGAATTTTTCTTTTTTCATTACCAGTATTAGGCCTACCAAAACATCTGTTTTATTGCTCTATGTTAAGTATCCGTCTATAACACTCTGTTCTAAAAACTTTTACTCTGTACTATTTTAATTTATTTTAGGTGTTAAATACTTCTCAAGGGTAAAGTAGAGTTTTTACATCGTAGAGGCTAGATACTTAGCAGACAGTTAGTGACGAGTAAAGTAGAATCACCCTACGCTTTTTTACTATACTGCCTCGGCTTCTGTATACTCTGATTCTTTATTTTGATCCATGTTTTTTTCATTTTCACTTTTTTCCATAATACATAGCCACTATTTTCCGTTCATTAATGTCAGCTCTCATCTCCTTTTTTTTCGTACATTACCTGCCCTATTTTTTTTTCTGTTTGTAATTTGTCTTCACTTTTCATTATTACCTTATCAACTGCGATTCTTATGTCATACCATATTATTTCAACATAATTTTTGTCTTCTTGTTAAGTTAATATTTTTATAAAAAATTTTTCCTTATTTTCCTGCATACCATGTTATTTCTAATCAACCTTTTTTTCATAATTTCCATGATTATCTCTTTTTTTATTATTGTTAGAATTGAGCCCTTCTTTTGAAATTTAAGTTCTTGCTCCTCTAATCACACAAATGCTAAACTCATCTATTCTCTCCTTTAATATTACAGACCCAGAGTATTCTAGAACTTGATAACCAGCATTTATTTTGGCACATCACACAAAACTTTTTTTGTATCGGTCGCTACTTACAATTGTTAGTATCTGCCCCAATTATTTCTTAGTGCTTTGTACTACTAATTTGTTTGTCATGTTTATAATATGCTTACAATTTTTTGCCTTTAACGTGGCCCTTAGTTACTAATATCTTCTTAATCCTGACTTTCACACGAGCCCACTGAATATGTTAATCCCTATTTTTATAAATAGTTTGATCTTATGAATAAATAATCTGCTAATATATGCATAAAAAGCTTACGCAGTTGTATACACAATACTGTCTATCTAACGAACAACATTTTAGTCACTCGCCCTACCATAAAATTTCTCCTTATCAATTCACTCTTGTTAAAATTTTCTATGTTGTATTAAGATTCCACATATAAAGAGTTCTTACGTATCCTATCTCCCTAATCCTTGCCTTCCTTATTCTTTTTTCCATATTTACCATGCTTTTTCCCAAGTATACGAAACTTTCATGTGGGCACCTTCCAAAGTTCTTCTCAGACGATTTAGTCATATATCTTACTGGGTACTATTTACAGGGAACAACGATTATTCAAACATACCCCAGCTATTATCAAGTTTAATGGAAAAATATTTTTTTAAATAAACCATCCAACTCGCTATACCGACACTTTTTAAAACTTTTTCTTCACACTTTTTCTACTTCTAATGAAAAAAAAAGTTTTAATTTTGTTTTTTCTCTCAAAATTATTAATTAATTGTATGAAGAAAATTATCCAAGGAAGTAATGCTAACAACAATAAAAGTCAAGAATAAATATGGAAATAGATAAGAATTTGAGTTTGTAGGTAGAAATATTAAAATAGAAGTAACTGTGTAAGGACATAAAGTGAAAGTTGTAGAACTTGAAATCATAAACAACGACTTGGAAGATTTTTTGCATAATTTATTTTGCAACTAATTACTTTTGTAAATTATGTATACCGAAACTACTATATCGTTCACTTATAAAGATCACTTTTAACATTTTTGCGTATATTCCAAGGTTCAAATAACTAATTACTTTACTATGAAACTCTGAACTATTCCTGACTTCAACTTTTGTTTGCTACAAATTAGTAATAATAATTTCTTGAAGAAATATTGGTACTACATAGTAAATATGCAAATAAATATTAGGCCGAGTCCAATGTAAAAACAGAAATGTGGGTAGCTGATATTCGTAAAAAAGTAGAATTAAACTATCATAGTTGAATGCATTTTACTTCAAATCTCTCAGATCAAAATTTAAGAATTGACAATCGTTAGCACCAGATTTTAAAAAAATTACTTTTTTATTTGATTGTTATGTATCCTAATTTTTGAGGTGCTAAAGGGATGTTAGTACTCTCTGATTCTAGCAAAATCGACCTTGATTTTTTTAGATTTATCAAGATTTATTAATTGTAATGTCATTTTTATCATTTTTCAAAAAGCAGCCGTTTTCAAATTATGTTATACAACCAAGTGCATATTGTTGGAATAAAAAAAAGTTAACAGAAGTCTTTTCTACTAAAGTTATGCTAAAGAGTTTTATACATTGATAATTTATCATTTTGCTTTTTTTTTTTTTTTTTTTTTTTAAGTTATCAAAAAAAAAATTGTCTCAAGATATTTAGGAATAATTCGAAAACCAGAAAAGAATGATAAATATTTTTTAGTAAATCAGCATACCCCCGATCATGTTTATTGTTAAAACTGCAGAATATTAATATTCTCGTTCTTCCTGTTATTTTAAGCTGCATTTATAAGGATGGAAAAAATCACAATACTCGGCACATCTGGTGTCCAGCATCCCATTAATGAATAAAAACATTTATTTTCTTCGCAACATTTATAATACTTTATAATGTATATTATAATGAAATAAAATAATGTTTTACGTTTTATCTTTAGTTTCGTAACGCTGATGATGCCAAAAAAGCTTTGGAACAGTTAAACGGATTTGAATTGGCTGGTAGGCCCATGAAAGTGGGCAATGTGACAGAGCGAACAGATTTATTGCAAAGCCCTTCATTATTAGATAATGATGAATTAGACCGTAGTGGAATTGACCTTGGTGCCACAGGAAGATTACAGTTAATGTTTAAATTAGCAGAAGGAACAGGACTTGAGATTCCTGCTGCAGCTGCTAATGCTTTAAATATTACTCCAGTGATCACAAATCCACAAACGGTATCTCCAAGTGCTCCTCCTATAGCTACACAATGTTTCATGCTTTCTAATATGTTTGATCCTCAAAAGTAAGTTTTTGTGTGAATTTTAACTGTATTTTTCACATAATTATTTATGTACTGTAGTAAGGATGCGTAATGTAATAAGTACACAATCTTCCTTTAATTGTCACTGTAAGTGTTCGTACAAAAAAGTGTAAGGATATTTTGTACATTATAAGTCGTATTCATATTTTTTTAAGAAGTCTAATTTGCTACAAACTATTACCGAAACTGTTCATAATTATTGAAAGGATTAGGCTAATGTAATCAACAAAATTTTTTTAACTTATACATTTAATGTAAACATTTTTCTCCTATAGTTACTGTATATTTTTAGATATTAAACACATTTGCCTTGAAGAATACGATATGTTTAGCAAAATTATCTTGGCAACAAAATGGTTTTTTTTTTATTACTGACTTATAGCGTTAAATTTTCTGTTTACTGACTTAAAGCGTTAAGTTTTTTCTATCATACATTATTGTTTTCTCTTATAACGTTGTAATCCTTAATTTTATTTTTTTCGAGTTCTTATCTTCTCTTCATTTATAATAAAAGAAGCTATAAGTGACTTATTTATTTTTATTTTGTGACGTGGTACCTAAAACTATCTGTGTATCTATCACGTTACTATAGTACTATAAGTACGTGTAGTCATAGCGGCGTGGCGCAGCAGTAGAGTTACAGTTCCGGTGATCTCTAAGGTTAAGAATCATTTGGCGTGGTTAGTACTCAGATGGGTAACTATTTTAATCTTACTGTTTAGCCAGTGCTGTTAGTTTTCTTGGATCGCTTAACTGATTCTTTAACGCTTTGTCAACGTGATCATAGGTGTGATAAAGTTGGTTCTAGTATTTGTACATGTTTATACGTATAATCATTTGCTCATAACTGAGGTTTGCACCATGGCTAAAGAACACCATGTGTTTTTTAAAACTTCCAACTTTTAATCGGGATTTGGGTACGTCAAAGGTTTTGACGAAAAAGAGAATCAGGAGAGAGGTGTGCACGTACAGAGGTACATGGAGTGTATGTAAGTCAGTTGTATGGCAGAAAAAGTGTTAGTTTGTGTACGAAAGCCAAACGAAGTAAGGGGAGAACCTGAGCATATACGGAAACGAAAAGAGTAAACGGTTAAAATAGATAATAGTAGGAAAAATAATTAAGAATGCAAGTAGTGCAGAGTATATAAAGAAAGAGAAAAAGTAGCATAAAAATATAACCATAGTAATCCAGACCAGGAAAGGAAAATAAAACGAAGTTAAAGAAGTGAAGTGTATGCTATGTTAAAGATAAAGCAGAATAGAAAATGTGCCAGAGTGTAGAAAGACAGAAAGTGAATAGAGTATAGTAAAGTATATAAAGATTGAAATAAGCTGCAGCTACGGACAAGGACAGAAACGAGTCGAGGGTTACTGTAAGGTGGCAAGTTAATGACTGATAGCTACAGTAGATCCATATGGTAGTGTGGCTTTTGAAGAGAGAGATAAAGAGCATTCAAATAAGTAAGTATGAGTAAGAATAAAGGAAAAAAAGACGCGTAAACAAGTGTGTGCGTGTAACATGGGGTCAGAACCAGAAGTTCAAGACGTTAGCGAGATATTCGACCATTTTTAAAACGCGCAGAAGTAGCTGATGCATCATATTTGCATATGCGATGTAAGCACAGGCCATCAAAAAGATGCTTACAAAAGGTGCTAGGCACAGGTCTTCGAGCCAAAAAGATGGTTTACTGGGAGAAAATTGGTTGATGCGCGCGCGCTCACACACACACACAAACACAGAGAGAGAGAGAGAGAGAGAGAGAGAGACGCGCGCTTACATACACACACATATATTTTATCCAGACTCCACGTACTTTTGGAATACATACAAATAACATGAAAAAGTTATGCGGACCATCCACACGAGTACGATTTTGTCCTCATAATAACCCTTTTTACCCAATAATATCTGCATAAGTCAGCTTTGATCGATATACATGTATAGTTTTTGTGTGTGCATCCCACACAAACTCCCAACATCCCGTACATACAGCCGTTGACCCCTATCACCTCCCCTCTCTACCCCCATTAAATATGGTGAAATTCCGTCATTTTATCCATCATTTTGGTTTAGCTTAATTTTTGTCCAAGCTCCCCATAACCCCTACAGTTGCCCCTTAATATACTTTCTCCTTCTACGCCCTCTGCAGAAATTGTTTTGGCCGCCGCCCCCTCACAGCCTACACATCATTTTTTGTGAAATCCAACTACAACTTTACTAACAATCTCGGACCCAGACACCTATACTCATATATAGTAAAAATATGGTGAATGTATACGGACGTTGTTTCCGTTATTCTAACTTATACTTTTTTTTATCAAGACACCCTACTAACCTTCACCGACTTCATACATACTTGAATATTCACTTTTAAATACACACTTTAATGTGTACTTCCACGACACCCCAGACGTACATAATTAAATTCTGTGCATACGAATAAACAATAATTGAATCATTTACATGACTATGAGCACGATCATAAATTAATTTCATTTCATTTCATTCTAATTTCTATCTGTGTATAAAGTTCTTAGTGTGCGAAGTTTTTATTTTATTTTTATTTGTGATGAACTATAAAAAGACTTTTAATTTCTTATTTGTTTATTTATGACGTAATACTAATACGTACATTAGTTCTACTAATACTTAATCATACAATAATTCAAATTATGGAAGTATTGATTAAGGAGGTCAATTTGTGGAAGCAGCTATAATATTTATTGTGCTGTCAAATGTATACATGTTTATAAAAAAGTGTTGTAACTGTTTCTATTTCACTTTAAGTATCACAGAATTGAATGAGTTTTCTCTTTTAAAGGTTCTGAAACTAAAAACGTGTATAGTATAATGTTTGAAGTCGTAGGTTTATTTACATACGGTTTGCTAATTGCTAACCCCCTTTGAAATTTTATCAAAGGGAAGAAAATCGTTTATAGTAAGTTATCATTAAATTTGGAAGCAGAAAAAGTTCGAAGAGTGCTTTTTAATAAATTGTGGAAGGAATGTCAGGATCTGAAAAAAAAATTAAAATGTAATATACATAAAATCTTTCCTATTACACTTTGCCGAGCAAAATATATGAACAAAAACTGTGTTACATTACACTAATACATTTTTTATGTACATATAATTGGTATTACCTGAAAACGCATGGATAAATAAATTGCTGCAGGGGTTTGCGCTAAGTGCAGGGGACAAAGCTCAACTAACATACACATTGTGATAATTTAAGAAGCGTGGTCTTATCAAATAATCATGAGATGAGCTCTAATAATAATAGTATTTGTTGACTCCTAACTTAGATACACATCAATTCAAGAGTGTTCGAGTTACACTGTTTCCAAACAACGAGTCCCGCAACACTGACTTTGAAGCAGCACTGACTACTGCAACTCGAAGCTAGTATCGCTACATTTCGGAGTTGGTCGTCTGAGACGCCCAACGTTGGAGCTAGATCAGTTCAATGGTTCCCGAAGTGTCTTGGCTTTAATTTCGAGTAAATTCGTTATATCAAAGCATAAATTTATTGGTAGAAATGCATTTCTGTATATATTTAAGTTTATTTTTATGTGTATACGTGCGTACAAGTGTGTGCACGGAGTTTGTGTATTACATAATCAATAAGAAATGCTACAAATTACGGTTGATAAGCTTATATGTATTAATAATTTGATGTATGTATAAGTAAGGGAAAACTGATTAGTTTTTCCGAAAACAATTTTTTTTAATTCACGTCTTTACTTTTAGTTATTTCGCACTAACTGCTTTTAAACATGTACAAAAATATACATTAGTTTTATACTTGAAATTTAATGTACTAAGTTACAGTTAGTATAAGAACTCAGGCTTTATGAATTAGAGTACAAGTATTAAAATAAATGAGACGCAAATCATGCGAGTAAAAGTAAAGCTCCGGTACGTACTATGATCATATACAAGTTTTTAGTGCTCAGGGTCGTACCGTGTGTTAGCTCAGTTGGTAACGTACTCTGTTGTGGACCCGAAGATTATGAATTCAAGCCTCGTGATCGGAATTTTTTTTTTAAATTTTTTTTATTTCATGTTTAAAAATATTTAGATATTTATTTATTTATATATTATAAACTACAGTTATGTTTGTCCTTATGACTTTTTTATTAAATGAATAAACAACACGTGAAGTGTGTAATAACTAGTGAGCTTTTCAATTTATACGGTATTAGGCTTTTAAAATTCATAATTCTTAATAAATAAACAAAAGTATGCACAAGCAAGCTTTTTAAATTATTAGGGATGAGGCATTTAAAGTAACAAATATATAGTTTATAAGTAATAGTGTGGCCAAGCGAGCACTTCAGTTTATATGACATTAATTAAGATATGTTTTGAGCTATAGAATATTTAATTATCGAAAAAAAGCGTGGCCAAGTTTGTGCTTCAGTTCAAATTAAAATACGCTCTTGCAATTTACACTATTTGGTGAATAAACAAAAGGGCATGAAAGCGTGTGCTTTAGAATACTAGTTATTACATTCTTCATGTGATTTTCATTCACGTAATAAAAAAACGCGTAGACGAGCAACTGCATCAGGTTACTGGGTATAAGCTGCTTAAAATTGTATTTATTCATTGAATTCACCAAAGTGCAAGCAATGGAGGGTATTTGGTAGCTACCAATAAATTGTTTTAAATTCAGAATAATAAGTTAATTAAAAAAACGTGTGGACCGCTCGTATTGGATTACTGGAGTGAGATTTACTTTTTTATTCATGCACGCTTTACTGTAGTTTGTAATTCATAAATAAATAAATATCTTAATATTCTCAAACACAGAATAAAAGAATTTAAAAAAAAAATCTCATCATTAGGCTTGAACTTATAATCTTTGGGTCCAAAACTGAATCTGTTACCAACTGAGCTAACACACGGTACGACCCTGAGCACTAAAAACTTACATATGTTCATAGTACGTATTAGAGCTTAACTTTTACTCGTACGT